TTGTGCTTCAGATTGAGTAATTTTCTCCATAAAGATAGTTTGGTAAAAGAACTTGTTCTTACAAACACATCTTTTAAAGCTGTTAATTGCTATTTTGCACTCTGACAGTCTTTGATTAAATCTAGATGCTTGTCTGAGACACCTTGCACAATAATTGATTGCGCCTTAGCATCAGCCTTTGCGAATTTGTTCTTTATGACTATTGTTGCATTTATTGGTGGGGGATCTTTCAATGCCTCACTACATGCTTCACGTTTAATTACAGTTTTAATTCGGAACTCCCAGTTGTTACAATTGTTCGCCTCTAACACAGTAGGTAGAGGAGCACTACTAATTCCCGCCATTTCTGAATCTTCTAACTGGCACGCTGCAAGGATAGTCTGCTGAACTTTACAATACGCACTTAAGCTGTTTTCAACTTATTATTGTTTTTCACTAGATCAAGACTGGGCCCATAACCTATTAAGGATTGATTGAGTTGGGATTCTGGTAAACTAATTAGCACAACACTATTTTACTGAACTTAGTTTATCATTAATAAATTGGGAATATTCTGTCTATAACAACTAAACATTACTCAATGACAGTTCCATTATTCTAACCTAACTTTTTGACTCCAACTGTTGCTACAACAAAACTTCTGTATTCTGTCAAAACAAGTTAGCGCCATCTAACAATAGGATACTTAACCCTGCACTGGTAATAATGTGAGGTACCACATACCCCAGATGAATTTACGCGGCTGTAATTGCAAATGTAGTAATATTGCGCGCTCCATCTTTGTAGTACCTTCCAAAAAAACATTCCTCCGTAACGTGCGTTCATTTTGAGGCTCTTCCAGTCGCGTTTTACTTTCTACAGGACCGGTAAAGTGCTCTTGGGTATGTCATACCCCACCTTACCGAATTCGTGATTTTTACTGCTGTGTTCATAAGTCGTCGTGGGGGTGATTTTAATTATTTTTAGGAAGATGGTTTGTTTCACTTGATCAAGATGGAATAAATAACTTCACTTATTCTTGTAGATGGCGCTAGCGCTAGTAGTCATATCAAGTGAATCGTTTAGACATCCCAGAATTGGTCTGGCACTACTGGCGGATCTCAATGACGTCGAAATTTCAGACCACCAGTAGATATCTAAAAAGGCTAAGATTCAGCGAGAAATGTCACGATTGTCCAAGGGGAAAAGAAAGAAAGTCTTTTTATACTTGTATTTTGTGGACGAGGTTTATATGCATGGAACATCAAAACCAAATTTGTGATGAATGTAAGGCATTGGATAGACAAGAAAACATGAAATATTCTGTGCACCATTATATATTTTTCATAATTTGTACTATCTACTTCAAGGCAATTTGAGTTTTTAAGTGAGAATTTTGGTTTATTTTTGTTTCCTGGGAATGTCACCTCGTATGTATTTTTTTTTCACTTAATAAAACCGCTTTAATAATGGTCCCTGACTATTTATTTATAAATATTTTGTGAACCATTTTCAGTTATTTAGTATCAGAACAACAAATCAGAACATACTACTTTACGAAAATATCCATATTTTCCAGGTTTTTATAAAAAGAAAATGGTGTATCTCATACCCCACCTTACCATATTTGATATAATTTTCCACCTTACCAACGCAGGGTTAACAGTATTCAGGCTACAGTTAACATCAGAAATAAACCAGCACCCAAAGAAAACTCTCCTAAAAAGTTATTCGATTCACCCCTCGTCACCATTTTTAGACTACAATGTTAATAAGGGTGGGAAAAAGGCTCAAAAGCAACCTATGTTGTTACCTACCGAGGGCACATGTCACAAGATAAATCATCAAACATGAACACGTTAGGATGCATGATGCGGGTGTGCATGCCATACTTGCAAATTCAAGGTTGAGATTTTGAGATATCCACGCCCGCCTTATATGTTTCAGGCTTCGGAAAACCAAGTCCCGCCTGAACGTGTTTCTATAGTAAGACCTTTCCTCTATGTCGGCGTTGACTTTGGTGATTATCTTTGCTTTGGTCGACAACTGATGGTTAAGGAATCTCGTTCGAGAAATTCTCCCTTCTCCAAAGCATATACCATATAGCATGTGCATGAAAACGAAAGCCGTCCATCTTGAACTCGTCTCAATTTAGTAAACAGATGCTTTTCTATTCTACTTAAGAAGTTTGTTGCTAGACGTTGGTTCCAATACTCAGCGACAACGCTACAAAGTTCCGTGGAACGAGGTTTAGGTATACATTTTTCAAATCCCGAACAAATTTGAATATAATTGACGACGACCTGTCCTCCGAAGAAACTCAGTGGAAGTTTATTCCGGCTATAAGTCCTCACTGAGGTGGACTTTGGGAAGCAGGAAGCAGGCATAAAATCAACAAAATTTAATTTGCGCAGAATCATTTGTAAAAAAAAAAATGTGCAATTGACAACGGTGTTACCTGTAATGGAAACCGCATTCTCACCTCTCGACCTCTACGTACCTACTGCTTCAAATGGCTCCTCTGACCTCAAGTCTGCTGTTAGACGCAGGTCATTTTATACTTGGCCAACCCTTTGAATCTTTTCCTGAAAGGGATGTGTCTTCAATCCCTGATCTTGAATTATGGGAACAGCGTTCCGAAATTAGATCACTTTTTTGGAAACGATGTTCCATTGAACACTTAAACCGGTTACAGCACAAACCGAAGTAGATCAAAACCGCATCTTATCTAAAGGTAGATGATGGTCTTACTGTTACTATTATCGCACATTTCAATGCAGTCATAAAGCTGGTTTAAATGCACTTTCTAGTTCCTGTGTTATAGGAACACCCGTGAAATAGGTATGATATCGTTGTATGTAATCCTAAAATAAAACTTTTAAAACGTCCGCTATTGACTCCACTTCACTACCACTTATTCGCAACAGGTGTACGAGAGAAAATTTCGACATTCATCCCTAATATACTTTATATGCTATTATGAAACTGAAACATTCAGAACCAAACATATCGCAAAGCTAAGGCAAAAATACAGTCTCTTGTGAAGATAATCCTGGGATATAGGATGCCTGACTGAATGGTTTTCTCAATTATTGAGAAAGTATACCTAGCAATAAAAACTACGAAACGTTATACCAACAGAATAACTGGTTTTTACTAGGAAAACATCCAGTTAGGAAAACTAGGTGTCCCAATTTAGATCCTCACATTGGGATTTTCGTTATTATTTACATTATGGTAAAATTTATGAGTGGGAACTGGATTACGCCATAAAATAGATGAAAAGATCACCTGATAGGTAAACCCTGAGCTATTAATCTTTTGACTCTGCTTCCAAGAATTTAATGATTTTGATACCCAGTAGAATAGGTACCGCATGAAACCCTGTTAAAGAAACTATAAATTCAATTGACATCAACTGGCCTCAAAAAGATTGAACTTGGCTCGAAAGGATTTTTTTTAATTTAATTAAATTACATCATAATCATAGGCATTCACTTGACAACGAGTATTATAAGAATCTTGGCGGCATCATTATCTGCAAGTTCTTTGATGGCTAGATAAGCCTATTCTGAACCCACATAATTTCTCGCACATTGATTTCACCATTTTACACTCAATCAGCGGCAGCCGCGGTCACTGTTGTAAATCAGCTCTTTATCAGACGTTAGGTTGAATAGAAGTGTTGACAACTAAACATTTTTATTATGAAGAATATATAGTTTTCAGTACTGGAAGAAAAAACAATGCATTTAAAATATTGTTTTGAACATGTTTTAAGCACACAGTTTTAAATAAACGGTTTAAAACATAACAACCATGATGTTCATTTAAATATTTATTTATTTATTCTTAAAAAATAAATCGACTTTATCATTGAACTGTTGGTATAAAAAACTGGCCTTGTGCCAACTGAAACAACTTCCTACCTAACTCATGTCAACAACAAAAAAAAATTATACAATAGTTAACAAAAACATTTTACATTAAAGTTTGTGTGTTGATAGCCTAAATCACTACCTAAAAATTAAAAATTTGAACAAAATATTCCTACTGAACACTTTCAATAATTAGTGAGCTAATATTATTTAGATAAAATAAGTGAATATTTTTAAACTAATGAGTATTTTGTAAGTTAGGGTATCAACAGTTTTTTGCTGGATATTATCAGTCATCTGGTTTTCACATAGGTAGATAGATATATCCGCCGTAAAGTATACATGTAGATAATACATAGGATATTGAAAGCAAAATTAACAAGATTTCTCTACCAAAGTAAGTAGTTAATAGTATAAACTTGTAGGTTTGAAAATATAAATTGCTTTTCAAAAATTAAGGAATTGTACTAAAAAAATCTTTTCGAATTTATCTTATAGATATTTTCTGCGTGAGTATTAAATGACCCCTAAAACTTCAGAAGTTTTCATTTCTGGGATATGATTGGGAGAAGTGGATTTAATTCTTCAACTTTTGAGTAGCAATTCCATTTAGCAGGATCCTTAGTTATTAATAATTAAGCTACACCACAGTTCTGTACACTAATGTTTTTCACTTCCTATATACACAATATGAAATATTGCACTTTTTTCTTATTGATTTACAAAGATTCTAAGTTTGTTAAACAGAAAAAAGACTCGAATATCGAATGCGCATTATGAGTATAAGAGTAAATTTTCTAAATTTGATAACTAAGAAAATGTGGCATTCAATATCTTCATCACAATAATATTAAAGAAAATTACTAAATTTCTTTACATAAATCAATAAATATTTTGATTTTTTATAATTTTAGTACCTCCATAATTACGTCCTTATGTAACAGCCAAAAGCGTTATTATTCTTGGAGAATATTGAGCCTGTGTGTTTGATTTCTATTTGAAACACAATTTAAGCTTCATATAATTCGTTGAGTTTTGGAATTTGATCCAAATTAAAGACAGGCTCACTTTCTATTATATTAAATATGAAATAATCAATCTCTTTTCTAATATCTAAAAGCATCCAAAATCTAAAATCGGATCTCAGCTATTCGGTTGATTCTGGTATTGGATTGGTTGCCCATTGCTGAATTCTATACCACTGAATGGGTGAACGTCCATGTGTTGTTGCTGGAGGTTTTCTTGTTGAATCTGTGAAGGAAATACTCATACGTTGTTTATTTCGTAAAATTATTATCATTTATTATTCATAGGACCTACGGGAATACAAGTTACTCGATCGAGTACAAAAGATTTGAGTTTTCATAGCTTAAGTGCCCAATATACAGTGTGTCCCGCTTTTCATGAATACACCCCGATATCTCAGTTATTAATAATGCGATTTCGAGGGTGAATAGCTGACCCAAAATTTGTACACCGACTGCCAAATTCCACAATCTTTAAGGAAATTTGCTAAGATTGTGAGTGATTGTGTAAGATTGTGTACGATTGTGTAGTGATGGTGACTGATTGTGAATGATTGTGTCTGATTGTGTAAGGATTGTGAATGATTGCGAGTGATTGTGACTGTTTGTGTCACAATTGTGAGCGATTGTGAGTGATTGTGTAAGGATTGTGAATGATTGTGATCAAAACTAAGTTTTTCTCTGTAATTTTGAAAGGTTTTTTAGAAAATGTTGTATTTTGGGACGCCCCTTGTATCTTTCATAAGTGTTCCAAAAGGTAACAACAGGTTCTTGTTCTTAAATAATAATGTGTTTGAAAAGGACTCTATATCTGTAAGGAAAATGAGAAAGATCTCTTTCAAACACATTGTTTCTGTTTCTTATGACAAAAACAAGACAATTTTGCTCGGAAACTGTTAGAGATAGACCTATCGAACTTTATATCATTGAAATCAGCAAAAGCAGAGCTATCCAATGAGTCAATAATATACAGGGTGTCTTATTTGAAAAAACGTATGCGTGCTTCATAATTTAAAAAATTTCACTTCTAGAGAAAAACTGACTACCCCGCTGGAATCTACGTAAAAAGATCTATAAGAATCCGTTGTCACCTGATCACTTGTGAGAGAACTGAGATACAAAGGGCTGTCCCAAAATGCAACATTTTCAAAAACACCTTGTATCTTGAAAACAAAAAGGGCGATGACAATTCTGTTGGTGGCATCTTTTGGCTGGCAAAAAAGTAACCACCATTCGGGAAAACCGCATCCTCCTAACTCTAATAGCAACCGAGTTACCTATCTCTTATCTTATGTACAACCAAAATGGAACACCCTGTACAGGGTGGCACAGAGGAGGATGACAAATAAAAAAGAATCTGGTGTGAGGTAGATACTTGCTTTCAAATTAGGATTTCAGGTACTTGAAAATGTAAAATGCAATTTTGTTAGAAAAGTCGAATGGGGGGGCTTACTTGACACAGCTTATTTTTGAGCTTTTTGAAGTTATTTATAAGTAAAATACAATAACTTTAATGCAGCTGCTGCTGCTGCTGCTGCTAATCCATGCGTGTATTAGCGGTATCGCATTTAGTTGAGGTGCTTGCGGGTTGCGTTCATAACTTGAAGCTTGCCAAAATTGACTCTGAGAGATAGACATAGACTGACTATAAGCCTCATCTTTATAGTATTGAAGAGTAATTTCCGTAAAAAGCCATTATCTATTTAATTTTATTTATTTTTTCTGATCTGTTCGTTTATTTTCCACCGCTCACTAATTTGTGCTAACCGCCCCCCAAAATCAGCTGAGCTCTTTACCGCCCGCCGAGATGTTTGTAGCGCCCACTGGGGGGCGTTATTGCCCACTTTGGGAATCACTGGTGTAAATGGATAATTTTTATAATGGATTGTACCAAATACAGATATTTTTTTTTACAGCGTCCTGCACTGGAACCACAAACAATCGCTATCGATAAGTTCTCGACAATTTCCCCTCATTTCGAGAATAAAGTAAATAAAACTATTTGGAGGGACTCCACATGCGACAGATGGTGGTAGATTGTGTAGCGATTGTGAAATATTGTGCAACGATTGTGGGAGATTGTGATACGATTGCGAGAGATTGTGAGAGATTGTGTAACGATTGTGACAGATTGTGTGAGATTGTGTAACGATTGTGACAGATTGTGAACGATTGTGATCTGATTGTGAATGATTGTGTAAAGATTGTGAGGAATATGTACACCGACTGCAAGAGCTATTCACCCCTCGTGCGAATTTATTCAAATTTTGGTGGTAATTTTATGTTAGAAAAATTAACTTTTTGACATAGTAAACATTTTTATTTACCATTGGCGTGCGGTGTTGGGGGGTAAAAAGGGGTTGTATTTTTGGGAAAAATATATTAGGGCTTATTTTGGATAATTTTTTGCATCAGATTAAAATTCAGCATCCCCAAAAACCCCTTAATTCATGTATTTTCAAATTCTCAAGAGCTGATTTTAAACCGAAAAAAAAAATAGATATCAATTCACTTTTTGGAATAAGTTGTTTATTTCTAATTGGTGAACCTTAAATTACAGATGACATTATTTTAGAATATTGTATGTTCAACATAGGTACCTTCTAATTAGAAATACACAGCTTATTAGAAAGATTAAATTAAAATAAATTTAAGTATCTATTTTTTTGCTATAATCATCTCTTGAGATTTTGGAAATAATGAATTCAGATATTTTTAGGGATGCTGATTCTTAATCTGATGCAAAAAAATTATCTAAAATAAGCCCTTATATCTTTCTCACAAAAATACAACCACTTTTTACCCCTCAACACCGCACGCCAATGGTAAATGAAAATGTTTACTATGTCAAATAGTTAATTTTTCTAACATACAATCACCACCAAAATTTGAATGAAATTGTATTATTAATAACTGAGATATCGGGGTGTATTCATGAAAAGCGGGACACACTGTATATATGCAGCAAAAATCGACCTTCTGAGAGTTTGTCAAAAATTCGGAAAAAGTCGATACACTGACTGGGAACCATTGCCGTTATTTTTTGTGTGGCAAACGTCAGTCGGAAGCGCGCGTCCACCAACACTACGTCGATACTATCGCAAGAGGTACATGTACAATTTTAGGCTCAAATGTCTTTCTGTTATAAATATATTTTTGTAAATTCCGCACACGGTCAACCAAAAAGAGCAAACTCTGTAGAAAAGTGAGGAAACAGATATTTGGTATAATTACTGGTGCTTTCTATGGAATAAAGAAACTCTCTAGGTATAAATGCATAGTTGATTTCAGATGAAAGTTAAATTTAGGTAGACACAGAATATCATTTTATATCTGAATTAACTGAGGAGAATTGGTCTGAAGTTTATGACGAAGGAAACGCTGACAATTATTTTTAAGGGACGATGATACTTGGCCGTTTTGATACCTAATCTCTATAAAACTGAAGTATCAAAGACAACATAAAAATTCATGGGTAACAATGAAGAATTGAGCCCTGTCAATTTTTTTTGCTGGACACATATTATGATTGTGAATAGTCGTCCTGTAACAAATAACTTTCTCTCTGACTGTTGATTATGGAGCCAAGATGACAATTTTGCTGTTCAACATAAGATCGCAGAAATACTAAGTACAAATATTAAAAATAAAAGGTTGTTGGGTTTCGACGATGTTCCAATGCATGTTAAAACAATTAATGGCTGATTCCTGCATAAAACCTCTAACTTATCTTTTTATCAAGTCTTTGAAAATTGGTGTACCTATCTCCTTCTTCAAAGAATGCATGAAATAACCCTATTTTCAAGAAAGGTGATTTCTTACTTCCAGAAAATTATAGCCCTACTGCTGACTTCATGTTTTCAGAAAGTGTTTCGAGTATGTTATGCTCAAAAGGCTTGTGTAACTTATCTGGAAATATCCTGTCACCGCGACAGTCTGGTTTTGAGGTCGAAAGGGCAACTTCAGCAGCTCTATGTTGATTTTCTTGAGTGAGGTTGTTAACGGTCTTGTGGCGGACGAGGACAGGGCCTCCGATTGTGTCGAGCACAATATTTTGCTTAATAGAATAAAGATCAAATGGTATTCATGGAGTGGAGAGTTTGGGCCCTCGGCTTTGTTTGGTTTCTGTAAAGTCATTTAATATTCTTGATGTATTATATGACAACATTACGGCTTTAGCCTTCAAAACGCATTATATGGCGTTCCACACAGCAGAGAGAAACTAAGGACAGTTTGGATCTGGAATCTGGACTTGTCACATGAAGACATGACAAGAAAGTGAAGCATATGCATGAACGTTATTAGTTGGTAGGGTTTCTTGGTATCATAGTGGATGATGGCCATTCCCGGCGAATTTTCAATAGGTAGCGGAGCAAATAAAAAAAACGATGTTTGCATTTTCTAGTGCCCTTTTAGGTTCCATCGTCACCAAAAGTAACTGGGACAAAAATAATTCATATTAATCTCCTGGACTATTCCAAGTTAACCTAGATAATAAACCTAAAATTATTCATAGTTTGACAAATACCTGACATCTAAAATCATATAATAGTACAAGAGCTGATATGATGCTGTTGCAGTTACTCTTGGTGACGATGGTACATTTTAACGGCTATCAAATAAATTTATAAATATATCCTATCAGTGATGTTAGTGGGTCATAACCAGCGCGCATGACGGCGGGTCATGACGGTCATGACCGTCACGTCATATTCAATGTGACCGTTGGTCATGACCATTTTACCGCATAGTGTGGAAATGTGCAGTAAAGTAGATTGCATAGTATGCTTTAAAGTAGATTCGGTGTTTAGGTACGGTACACTCAAAAATCCCTTCTCGTTCAGAAATTTCAATAATGCCTTCTTTGAGAGATATAGAAGGTATAATTTTGTACCTAACACATGCGGAAAATGCCTTTACCTTTACGGCACTTAACGACTGCCATTGCGTGCGGTAAAGTATGACTTCTGAATATGTTAGGTGAATAACTATTATTTTTGTTATTTTATTTTACCTGCTAGGCTAGGATAGCTTTTATTCACCTATTTTGTAATTTGTTGAAATTTCTTCTGTTCTGAAATCCTCAATAGTTTGTCAAAACGTTGTAATCATTAATCATTAATTGATTATCCTTATTTTTAACCCATTTGTGAGTTAATAGACCGTAGACTGTATAGGTAGTGGCGTTTTAAATTGAAATAATTACTATGAACTATGACCATGATCATGACCGTCATGACACGTCATGACGCAAATGACTGTCACGATTTTAAATGACTGTCATTTTTTACACTGTATCCTATCCTATCAATCTAGTCGAATTTAACTTTTATCCGAGATCAATTTGACATTGTATGTACCTACCTTTTTTCTATAAAAAAAAAAGCACATTATATACCGAAATTAAATATCCGTCTCTTCTTTTTTTGGTTGACCGCTTGCCATATTCATATAATATTTGGGGCACTTTCACCATAAAAACTCAAACCCTATGTAGGTACTGATAATGAAACTTTTCCTCTTTGCCAAAGGTCTATAAGTATGAGTGATATCAGTAGCGTGCAACATTTTTCAGTGGCCCCCCTGCAGAAATTGCTCATGGGGCCCCTCTCTATTTAAAGTCCGGGCCCCGCACTGCGGGGTAAGCAGGGGTGGGTCTGCACGCCACTGAGTGATAAAGGTACCTACTCTTAAAGCATGCTTGCAATCCAATGTAGGTAATTGGCAATAAGTAAAAGGAAATTATTACCTCAATATTGTCAGAGTCATATTTAATTCCCCTCTTAAATCTACCATATAAGGATGAGTAAGGCAAATTGTAGTGGATGGCTGCTTGATTGATGGACATGTGACCTAACCTGTTAAAAATATGTATTGATATAAAAATGTAACAATGAGCAAATTTAGTGATTTTCTTTATAACTTTTTTTTTTGTTTTCAATTCCTATAAACAATACTTATAAGTTCCTACTTTTTAGGCAACATTTCAAACGCCCAAACACCTGCCGAATATGACGTCAGAATCTCTACCAATAAAAAATAAACAAAACCGACAAAAAGTCTGCGAATTTACTACCTACCCTATTTTTGAAGCTTGGAGGTGATTCGAGATAGACAAGGCATTTGATATGTGTGCTAAATCGCCACAGACACAATATACATAGATAATATATTATTTCCACAATAAATGAAAAATACAATACATTTGCTTAAGAAAAAAACAAAATTAAGAAAAAAAATTACCTACCTGACGGCTTCTAACGCTTCCCCCATAGCATCTTCAGACCACGGAGTTGGATTCGACCGAGACAATTCGATGCCTTCTCTCTTGCATCTTCCATACAAGGTTCCAGTTGGTATGCCAAACTCTGTGGACGCTTTTTGGACGGATGTTTGACCTGTTCGTATGGACTCTAAGGCCTTTTCTAAATCGTCTGGAGTCCACGTGGTTGGTGCTGCGTTAAAGGGCGCTGCCAGTCTTATACCTTCTCGTCTCGCTATTTTGTACAAGGTACTGCTAGGAATACCATAGGCCTTACTGGCCTTGTTCGCGGATATTGTACCGGTCCTCAAGGCTTCTAAGGCGTTATTTAAATTTTCTTCTGTCCAAGACTTTGTTGGGCCTTCTTTTTTAGGGGTGTCAATTCCTAATCTATGCGCTCGCTGCCACAAAGTAGTAGAAGGGATACCATAGGCTGCAGATGCTTTTGTCAGACTCATATTATGATTCTTTAGGGCATCTAACGCCATATCCATGTCTTCTTGAGTCCATGTTTTCGGCCCACCTCCAGTGTGTCCTCTGATCCCTTGGAAGTCATGGTGACCATTTGTTTTTATCTCGGTTTTTATACTAGCATCGCCCGCATCATCATCTATAAATAAATACATTACTAGGTTTAAAAATAAAACTTGACGTGCCTCTCAAAAAACAAAATTCAATCAATATCGAAACCAAAAATATGTGTCTGAAATAGTAAACATAGTTAAAAGCATAGCAGGTGCAAGGGATTGCAAAACTTTAGAGGCACCACAATAATGGGCCAGTGGTATGGTTCTGGTTGTTTGCTGACAATAGGTAGGTACCTATATGTTATGTTGATTAAGTGTTTTGACAATCCTGGTCATTCTGGCTGGGCTGGGCTCAAGATGGATTAGACTTGGATAAGCTTCTGTAAATGTATGATTTTTTTTGCTTTTGCTTGGTATTCAAAATCCTATCAATAAGCATGTCGTATTTTATTGCATGCCGTCTTCATCAATTGTTCATGACCACGTCAAGATTTACTAATCTAACGAGAACAAATCACACCACTGGCAAATATTAGGGCAAAATTGTCTGATGAAAGAGATAGGTAAACCATAACATAGAGATGTAAGTTTTCATGAAATTTTCAAATTTGAAACTTTTCGTGAAACTTTTCATGAAAAGTTGAAACTTTTCAATTTTCTTTTGAAAAGTTAAGTACAGGAAGAATAGGGCCTCTAAAATTATTTTTTCGAAATGATAGGTATTCAATACATTGAATTGATGAATAATATAATTTTTATCAATTATTCCTTTCCATTAAATCACAATATTGCGGTTGAGGATTGAGGTAATAAAAAAAATTGCATAATAGTGAAAAAATCTGTTTTTCTATGACCATCAAAAAATAAGCAACTTCTGTCATATTTTACCTTAGCCGAAAACGTGATTTTCGTCACTAGTGATGAAATATCCCATAACGTTAACTTTCCTCACTAGTGACGCAAGTGAATGATTAAAATTTTACATGTTAAATACATTTTTTCAAATCCAATTATATTTCAATTCTGTGGAGCACAATGAAAAAACATAGTTCATAACAAAATTATGTACATTTTTGTGATATATGTGCATAACGTCTCGAAATAGTCGTGTATGCGCTAGCTCACTATTAGTGTATGGTTAGATTAACAATGGGTTTTTTGTGACTAGAGTACCATTCCTCTGGGTACGGAGAATTGAATATTTTCAGTAATAAATAGACCATCACTCAAATGAATGTGTTTCATTTATAGTATATTACAATTTTGCTTTATATAATGTAATAAAAGCAAAATATAAGTATAAAATTAATTAAAAACGAGCACTTTTCATAGATGGCGCCAGCTATCAAGTCAAGTAGGAACCCTTGTAAAAAAAAAACATAAGTTTAACAGCAAAAATCAAAACATGGTCTTAGAGAAAGTATAGTGTTTTACTTGTCAAAAATCATTTTTTGCAACTTGAAAACAACTGTTTTCTTGTTGCAAAAAATGCTGTTTTCGTCACTCGTTAATTATTTTTCTGCCCACGATCATGACATGCGTTTTCGTTTTAACAAACCTGGGACAAAGTCACAATGCATGATTCATGATCTTTAAACTTTTCACGAAATTTTGAAAAGTTTTGAACTGTCTTGAAACTTTTCAATGAAATGAAATTTTATTGAAACTTTTCAGGTGAAACTTTTCACACTCACATCTCTCTACCATAACATCTATATCTTAGCTTGTTCAAGGGAGGGTGGTACATATCACAGCAATTAGGCCACAGTAGGCTCACTGTGCGCATCTTTTTTGAGACAAGCAAGAATGGTCGCCGGCAGGGAGGGGCAAGAGGGTGTAGTTGCCCTCTCCTGGAAAATCATTAGATTTCAACATAATTTTTCGCGAGGTTTATCAAGCATAATCGATTATGCTGGATTATGTGATGTGTGAATTGTGTTGTGTCATACTCCCCTAACTCCCCCATCAAATTCTGGGATACTCGAGGATCAAGAACACTTAATTTCTTCTGTCACAACAGACCAAAAATGGCAAAAATCACCTTTTCTACATTTGAAATCGACGAAATAATAAACTCACTAGCACAGCCTGAATCGCAAGCATTCCATCGAGGTCTGCGGCTGACGTCATCACTATAAACTGATGATAGTGACGTGACTCGCAGGCCCGGAATTTGATGGTGAGGGAGCTAGGGGAGTATGACACAATTGACACATCACAGTATGACACAATTGACACATCACATAACCGAGCATAATCAGATTATGCTTGATTATCCTCGCGAAAAGTTTCCTATAATTTGAGCTGGCACCATAAAAAAAAATTGTGGATTAAAACCGTAATACTTAATAATATCAACTTTAAAATAATATTGAGACATTTTTTTGATCTCTAGCAAACGTCTCTAGTAATAAAACATTGGGTGAATTGCATAGGCGGTCGAAGTCGGCCACGCAGCACATGGTATAGGAACTCCCCTAATTAAGAAATTGAACTAGGGCGACATCTCTGGTTACCGCTTGAAAATAAAACGTTGGGGAGTCCCAATAAGAATGCTTTGAATATAAAACTACAGGAAGGAGCATCCAATCTGCGCGACCAGAATATATGGAGGTTGCATATGGCCGACTAGTGTTTGGCAGTGGCGTATATTTATTTAAATATGATTGTCAATATTATGACTCATTCTTTTCGCGCTAATCCCAGAATCCCAGTGCTTATTATCACTTAAAACCGCTAAAATCCATTGAACACTCACTTTAATGAGGACACAGCGAACAGCGAACCACCAAAACAAAAGATGAGTCATACTTGGAGGCTCAATATGGCCGTTTCCGTCCCTGCGTTAACTGTGGTGACAGATAGAAAACGCTACTTCCTGTAGTTTTATATTCAAAGCAAGAATAATACACGCTACTACCACAGGATAGCCTATGCTCATTAGGCCTGTGTAGTTCAAGTCTCATGCCAAAGCACCAGTGATGACGTAAGCAGCAAGTCGTTTCTCACCTTGACGTAGGGTGTTGGCACCACAGGTTATGATTTCGCGGGCTTTTGCTATATGCATACTTGATTTTACTACATTAATTACATTCTAAAACAACTCTTTTTTAGATCTCGTTTGCATCTTCCTCTTTGCCTATTATGTTAATCAAAATTAAATAATATTTTTCATCAAATTTAAATGAGATGGCTCCATTTGTGCTACTGTGCATTTGTGCTAATCCGCAAATGGTCTACTCACGAACGCGATCGGCTATGGTCGGGATCAGTTAACATGATCGCGGAGGAGTACAAAGAGTAGTTGAAGGGTTTGTGTACGCGGCGGGCGCGCGGAACATCTGGTGTAATCAGCTGATGCTGATAAATAATAAAAATAAATTAAATGTTTTTGTATTTAATGAATGGTTGTGGACTTTATTTTTATTAACTACAGTAGAGCCAAGATTTTAGAAATATATACTTATTATTAAAGCGTAGAGTCTATACAGACATGTAAAATTATTTATAAATGTAAAGTTAATAATACATATACTTATCCAAAGTAGGTATCTCCCCAGATTTGAAATTGTATGAGGTTATTTATTGATTTTCCAGAATATTAGGTCAATAAACCTAGCAGTCCCATTGTAGAAAAAAAACGAAGGGATTGCTAGGTTTACATGAAATACCTTATAGCAGTCCCCCGTAGTGAAAATATTTTTTTAAATTTTTCTTTGATATCAGAATTTACATAATAGGTACCTATACTTTTTAAAATGCTCCTAAATAGTCAAAGAAAAAATTGAATCAGTTAATTATTAACTGAATTACAGATTTTTTTTCAATATTATGAAATTCCTGGATTTAAGTTTACTTATGGTGGTGTGTTAGAGGCTGAAATGTTCCTGGATAGAAATTAGGTACTATTTAAGTGCTCCCAAATTGTCAACGAAACACTTGAATCTGTTAATTATTAAATGATTTATAGTTTTTTTTTCATTATTGGCAAATTATTGGCTTCACGTTTAGTTGGTGCTGTATCAGAAGCTAAAATGTTTATGGATAGGAATTAGTGCTATTTAAGTGCTTATATTTGAAGAAAAACTTGAATCAGTTAATTATTAACTGAAGTAGGTACAGATTTTTGTTTTTCATTATTAAGGAATTGCTGGCTTTAAATTTACTTGAGGATGTCTTGCATTGCAGCGAATCTGATAACTGTGACTAAAATGCTGTTGTATTGGAATTTGGTGCTATTTAAATGCTCCTAAAAAGTTGCAGTTTTTCTTCGACCATTCAGGAGCACTTAGATAACACCTAATTTCAATACAACATTAACGATTATAGCCACTGTTATCAGATTCGCTGCAAATCTCTACACCCCCAAGTAAACGTAAGGCCAGTAGTTCAGTTCCCTAATAATGCAAAAAAAAAATCTGTAATTTAAATAATAAATAACTAATTCAAGTTTTTCTTAGACTATTTAGGAGCACCTAAGTCCTATCCAGAAACATTTTAGTTTCTGACCATCAAGTATAGGTAAACGTGAAGCCAACAATTTCCGTTTTCCATTTCCTAATAATGAGAAAAAATCTCTATTTAGTTTAATGATTAACTGATTTTTTTGACCATTTGGAAACACTTGAATAGCAAGAATCCTAATAAGATTGCTTATCATCATAAGGCGTACGTTCGCCAATTCTCGAGTCGGCAAGGCCTGCGAGTGACGTCGGTACTATTAGGAGCCTCTTATAGTGGTGACGTCACCCGCAGGCCTCGATGGGATGCTTGCGATTCAGGTTGCGCTTGTTTTTTCATGGATTTTAAATGTAGAAAAGGTGATTTTAACAAGTATATAACGTTTAGGAATTCGTTTTTTTAACCTATACTGTTTTAAACTCGGCTTATACATTTTTATGTCAAGAGTTGAGGCCTGCGGCTAAAATGGCACACACTTTCAGCTCAATAAGCAATAAGTGTTCTTGCTCGAATAGCATCCAAATCCAATTCAACATTCTAGCCACTGTCATCAGATTCGCTGCAAGTTCCCCACCTAAGTACACGTAAAACCAGCAGTCCCCTAGTACCTATTCCTATTCCT